CCTGTCTTTGACCTCTTCCCTAGCCTGCTCCATTTACCTGCTTCGCTTCATTCTGGTTTTTGACCCACGCCTTCTCTCCGACTCTGTCTCCTGCCTCGCCCTCCTCGGGTAACGCCACATCTAATAAAGACTTTTAAAGGTGCTTTACAGTGTTTGGTGTCATCACGGGTCCTTCTAGTTCAGTTCATGACAGAAGACGATTTTTATGTTCTCCATGCATGAGAAACTCACAGTGACCGATTGTTTTAGAAAAATTATATGTGAAAAAACATTTCTCCATGAACTTGCTCTTAAACAATAAAATAAAATTTTTATAATTTTTCATTTAAGAGCAAGTTCACAGAGAAATCATTTTTACACAATTTTAGAAATAAAAAATTAAATTAAATTAAATTAAAAAATTCAGAGCAAGTTAACTGAGAAATAATTTTTATTTTACGCATAATTTTTTGAATAAAGTAAAATACAATACAATCGAAATGAATATGTGTTTATTTTGTTGCCACAGCTTGGCTCTAGGTTTTGCAGCAGGGATCACATCTCATGTTGTTGTTGACAAGCTGAGGGGCCCTTTGTGAGGGTCAGTGGGGTGACTGGAGGCCTAACATTTAAAGACACTAAACTGTAGTAATGTTAGATTAGGGTGGTGATGAAATCCAACTTGAAGTACTTTGTTGGCATTTGAGCAATGTTGACTTCTTCTTCTAAAGCCACCACAAACCGCACTGTAGAAACTTCAGTCATTCCTATTTTAAACAGTTGTCTCAACTTGTACCACACTGCTGCTGGGGTTCACGTTTTGACCAAGCTAGAGCACAATAAACGGCACCAAAATTCTGACATGATCCCTCGTGTCAAATTAGATTTTTCTGTTGGTGCATTTGCACTTTAGCCCAGTGTTGGACTGGAAAACCACCTGCCTCTTGCTCCCAGTGACTGCTGAAGATAGGCACCAGCTCTATTGGACCCTTACAGAAAAAAAAAAAACAGTTGAGAAGATAAAACATGTTTTGTATTTGCTTTTATTAGAAATTCTATTTATGAAACTCTAACTCCAAGAGAAAAGAGAGCATTTATTGTGTAACAGGCTGTTGAACTAATCATGAACAATGTTTGGTATTGCAGCAAAATTAAAATTGCTGTAGCATTTTTTAAAAGTCCCCAATTCTCCTTCACACAGAACAAAATCAGCCAGGTTCATAAAACATCTCCTGGTCTGACAGTTTGTCAAGTGCCACTTGGTGTTGATCCCCCGGTGTCTGTTGCAAAAGTTCACACGACAGACTGGACAACAGAGGCTATGTGGAACCAACACTGACTTGTTTTAGTCCCTAGAGCCTGAATTCTTGTAGTTGAACAATAAAATAAAGTTTGCATGAGAAGTTGAGTTGTCAAAAAGAAGAAAACCAGACCATTCGTTTGATTCAACAGCTACACAAACAGAATATCATTTAGAAGCAAAAAGTGATTTGATCGTATGTGCCTGCATGTGTTGAGGGGATTAAACTGCAGCCTAATGAGCTCCTCCTTCCTGATGAGGACATTTTTGCTCATTAATAAGGCTGCATTTGCTCTCAGCACCAACTCCTGCTGAGGTCAGTGCATCATTGCATCAGTGCCAAAGAACACCTTGTGTGTGTGTCTAAGAAACACTGCTGCCTTTTACAGAATGGAGGTCACGATGCCCCGTGCATGACAAGACGCTGCTATTTCCTGCTCTCTTGGTTGTAAAATCTGATCCCCGTGCCTCCTCTAAGGTCAGTTCAAAACACGTCCTCAGGCTTTAACCCTCTGGGTCATTGTCCTCAGTTGTGATATTTTGACCAAAATATTATTTTAATTGAACTAGATTCAGACAACATTTGGATTTAGCACTTTTTTCATTCTTATAAAACTATATTTAGTCTCACTAGAGGTTAAAGTGTGTGTTTATTGTGTGCCAACATGAGGAGGCTTGATTCGGCCTATAATTTAAGAGCCAGTTACTCTATTTCTGTCTTTAGGGAGACCAAACAAATAGAAATAAGTGATTATTGTTTGTTTTTTAATGGTTCCTTGTAAATATAGTAAGTCTGGTATCACACTAAAGCGTATGAAAAAAAAATATTCAGTTATTTTGGCAAAAACACTGATTTTGTAAATGACAAAAAATTAAACATAATAAAATATGCCCGTTATCCGGGCCGTTTTCAGGAATCTTCTGAGTACCTGCTCAGAGTACCAGGAGAGGCCCGGTAAAAGGCCTGGTGCAGTTGGTGGGCGGAAACGCCAGTGATTGGTTGCAACCCAGTCAGAAATGCCGTTAATGGGAAATAGAAAATGCATGCGGGGTGGAGAACTGGCATGTAGGACACCATGAGTTGATGGCGCGTTTTGCGTCAATCAAAGACATAACTCAAAACGCAGTGGTCGCAATGTGCTGGCTTTTTAGCACATTTCATACAGGGCCAAACTTTAAAGGGAGACACAAAATCTAAGAGGACTGGGCCTTCAGATGGCCCAGCCCATTTCCCCCTTGCTGTTTTTACCCTGAAGTTCTGGTAAAGGAAACACCCCTATTGAGAAATAGGCCAGGGGCTTGGCAAGGCATTCATTTCTATTAGAGAGACCACTGTAAATGTATTGATTAAACAAGTAATCCACACCTTTACCTATAGATCTGTTCATGAGAATGACTTGGTTTGGGTAATTGCCTTTATGGATTCTAATAAGTTGGATAACTCGACTTTAATGGTTTTAGATTTTATTTTTGATTGTTTTTATTGTGTGTTTTTGTTCAGCACTTTGGTCGGCTCTCATGCCGTGTTTAAATGTGCTATACAAATAAACTTGGTATGGTATGGTATAAAACGACTTTTCTTTTTCAGCTATTTGCTTGAAACATTTGTAATGCTATTTTCTTGGATTACAGGTTTCTGGTTGACATTTAGGAGGGACGAGTTTAAGTTGGACCTGTTGAGTCTGTCACAAACCAAAACCAAGTGACAATGTGTCATTTAGAGTCAAAACTAAATTCTATTGATAAAATCCCAGAAAAGAAAATGCTTGAACAGAGCATTCAAAAACCTGCAAATAACAAATGAGCAGACAGAATAAAATCAATGTGAGTAGAAAAGTGTCTCATAACTCTTAAACCTTTAATACCCATTGATTGCATCACTACAACAACAATCCATCTTTAGAAAAGCACCCAGCTGGGATAAATTTAGCATAGGCCAGCCACATACATCAAAGGAACAGTAGTTGAGCTGAGACATTATTTGTGCCGTTTGCCAAACGCCACCAGGACCAACAGAAACATGTAATCTAATGTTCGGATTTCTCTCTCCCAGATCAGAATGGTTTCACTGAACATCAGCTGTGCTGAATAAATGACTGACAGACGTTGATGCTGCAGTTTCCCAGCAACAGGATTGCCACTTATGGCTGTGCATCTTATGCAAAAGCTGGAGTGTTTGCAGAGTTTTTATTTCCACAACGGTAATCAGGGCTCATCTCATTGTTTTTTGTTTTCATTTTCACACATTGAACTGGTTATAAGCAGGTTGTGGGTTTTTTAACTTTTATTTCACCAGAAGGGTGCCACTGAAATATAAATAAAAGATTATGTCACTTATTTAAAATAAAATGGAGACTTTTTTAGGCAAACCTAGCGAGTAGAACAGATTTAACAAGGTGTCAGATTTTCTTGTGGGGCAAAATAGCTGAGGACATGAGTGCCTGTCCCATAATTGGAGGGCTGTAGGGTTGCACTGTCTGTCATAAACGTTGGGTCGTTGGGCAAGGCACTTCGCCCGCCTGGCTTGCTGATGGTGGTCGGAGGGGCCGAGGGAGTGGCACCGATTCTGTGGTGGCCTTTTTGTCAGTGTGTGTCAGGGCAGCTGTGACTACAATGTTGCTCATCACCTGTGTGTGTGTGTGTGTGTGTGTGTGTGTGTGTGTGTGTGTGTGTGTGTGTGCACGTGCGTGCGTATAAATACAGGCAGTTTACCATTTAGCATTTGTCTCAAATTTAGTAAAAGCATCAACGTTGCTGCTACTTTGTTGGCTGCACATCCAAGAAGTGCATCTCCTGTTCCACCCTATCCCAAAGGTTCTGGACTAGCTCAGAAGACTCAGTCTGCAGCAGCAGGCTGATCTGTTGTTGCAAGGCAGGTAGATTAATGTAGTTGACACTAATTTCTGACCCACCTAACCTCTCCTCAGACTCACTTCTAGATCCTGAAACAGGAGCGCAAGGGCTTCCCCCCCCCCCCCCCCCCCCCCCACAGAGATGGTCTCACAGGTCATTAAGTTACTAGGCCACTACTAATGTGTTAAAAACAAGTGAGCTTGGTCTTTAAAATGAAATTGAGGTGAATAAAGTGTCTGACAGAGTTCTGGTCATTTTCACGTAGATGTATGTAGGTGGATTAACAAAGTTCTGAATGCATCTAAGGAACTTCTGACCTGATCTTAGATATGTCGTGTCGTTTCTATTCATTTTCAAGCTGTTAAAAAATTATATCCACCAGATAGCCTACAATGGCAACACTTTACAATAAGTGTCCATTTATTATTAAGCACATTATTAAGCATTAATAAACAGTCTATCCCTTTATCAAACTTCATTTTTTTTAACTACCAAGTGTCCTTGAGGCTACTGGGTGTTTAGTAATGCATTACTTAATATTAACATTAATACTAAGCAGTTGTTAATACTTTAATAGTTGAAATGCTTAATATTGCACTAAGTAACTTTATTACATGAACCTATTGTAATGTGTTACCACATTTAACTCGCATGATGCAGACTTCATCTGTTGCGTTGTTGCAGTGTTTGAAGCTGAGGTATTTAGGTAAACGAAGACCACCAGTAGCTCTGCAGTAATCTGCGACGCTGGGAGTCTCCGTTTAGCCGCAGGACTCAACGCTTTGACCCCTGCTGGTCCCCTGAGTCCTCTGAAGAGCCGCATGTTGTGTCTTTGTATATAGATGCGCCCTCTACAGGCGGCCTGCCATCACTCCTCCTCCTCCTCCTGCTTTACTCCACTCACCGACTCCTCAGCTCCTCATTCACTAGAAGATGGCGGACTGCGCTCCACTGTTAGATGAGGAACTCTCGTCCTTTGTCTTCAATTACCTGACAGAAAACTCCGGCAGCCAGGTAAGAACCGGGCCTTGGAGGATGCACTGGACTGCGGGCTTTGGAGACCGGGGCGCGTCTCTGCACGTCGCGGTCCGAGGCACGCGCTGTGCCCGGCTGATGAGAGCCTCATTCGGCTTCTCAGCGGCATCTCTCCACGCACGGTGCGAGCCGGTGCCTCGGTCTACGTACGTGTGTGTGTGTGTGGGGGGGGGGGCATTCACCATGTCTTGATGTCTGGCTTTCACGTGTCTTGGAGGAAATGTCATCAGCAATCGAGCTGACGGGATTTGTTGTGTGAAAATGACTAAATGTTCGGTTGTTTGTGCTGGAAGCGCTGCGCCGCCGGTGCGCCGCCGCTCTGAGATGATTAGTTGGTATGCAGAGGGGCGCTTTGGAAACTTTAGACGCATTCTTGAGGGAAGTTTGTATTTCTGTGCCGGAGACTCGAAACACGTGGTGCGCGCGTCTCACAACGCGTGGACGCAGCCAGGGGATTATTATGACTCGTGTAATGATGATATTAATCCATATTGCCCCCAGTCTTGATCTGGTTGGAAATTTGTGTTGGAAAATGTTTGTTCAGTGCGGATTTAGTTGCGGCTTGTGCGGGTTTTACGCATTTTTTCTCTTCACACCATTGACTCGGATGTTTATGCTGCTCTCCGGCACCACGGGCCGAAACGAGCTCCATGATCCCCTCCGTAGTGCATAGCGCCCCAAAGTTGAGCAACACCCCATCCACGATGCATTCACTGTCCGGTCATTTTGAGACGATCTGGCACAAACCGAGGCTGACCAGACACAGGATGAGAGGCGGGGGTAGCTGCCTGCGTGGAAAGTTGGTTTTCATAATCGTTTTTGCGTAATGGTTACAAAACGCTTCTTGATCGTGCAGTTATGGACTGATGACGACAGGTTGTCTAGAGGGGGTGTTTAAAGGTGTGTGTGTGTGTGTGTGTGTGTGTGTGTGTGTGTGTGTGTGTGTGTGCTCTGAATATCAAATTATTGCCGCAGATCAGATGAAATTAATAAGGTACTCGCCTTAAAGACATTAACTTGAATATATGCTCCAAACTTCATCTCTCTCTTTTCCTTGTGTGTATGCACCCCCACCCCCACCCCCAGAGAGGGGGCCTGTCACAGAAAAACTTGCTGACATAAATCACGCTATTAATTTATTTATTCCCTTGCTGTGGATGCAGGGTCATCGCAGGATGTGATGATGCTCCGTTTGAGTGGGCGGTGGTGGTGGAGGGGATCTGTCTTAGCCGATTGGCAGCTCGAGCAGGTTAAATGAGTGTGTGGTGGGAGACTGTGTGCGCTATTTATAAGCTGCAGCAGTGACATGTGCTCTAGCGCGCACATACACGCGCGCGCTCATACACACACATAAAAACACCATATAACAGAGAGATGGGCTACATTTAAGAGGGAAATTGAAGCCCATCATGTGGAATGAAATACACCGAAACCCTCATTTTTAAAGCTGGTTATAATAAAACACACCATTCACACCTATTTCTATCTGAATTTATGACATATAGTTTATACAATGTAATACAGTTAGGCGACGTGCTATTATTAATCCTGACTCCTTTCATTACTTTTAGTCAAAAATATGTTTTCAGTCCATCATTTATATGGATAAACAGATTTGTTTTACGACCCTTCACAGCCATTTTTTAGTCAAAACAACAGGAGCGCTGCTAAAACGATGTGGCACTAATACACGCAGGAATATGTTGCCTTTAGCAGAGATGTGTGCATAAAACAAAAATGTGATCAAGCCATGCAGATGCAGGTGGATGCAGAATGTAAATCTGCTCCGACAGAAACGTGCATACTGCTATGTTTGTTCTCACAGCTTTGCAGCTCTCTGCTCTGAGGCTTTTAAGGCGATGAGAAAGAGGAAGGATGAAGCGCAACTGGAGGAAGAAGCAGAATTAGAGTGTGCTCAACATCAAAGCAGAGTTCTTTCTTTATGTGTATTCTGATGGGGTAATCTGTTCTACCACCAACCCACTGATACGTTAATATTTACTCATGCTTATTAAGGCAGGCTTGTGGCTTGCTGTGTGTGTGTGTGTGTGTGAGATAGAGAGAGTGAGACACACTTGTCCCTGCTGGTTGGTTTGTAGTACTCTATCCTCGTGACTGGTGAAACAGAACTGGCCTGCTGCAGTCATGTGAGGTTGTAGTGGAGGGAGGGATGGATGGAGGCATTACTCTGACGTGGAGGGCTGGGCCCTCCTCTTCCTCCTCCTCCTCCCCCAACATGTGACTGCTTCCTCTGCTGTGGTTTCCACACCCGCTTCACTCTCACACATACACACAACTATCAAACTCTACACATTTTCTTCCTGTCTGTTCTGAGATTCTGGACCCATGCACCTTTGTTTTGCAGTATTATTCATTTATTTTTCATACTGAAGCAATAAAAGTTTAGCTAAAGCGTGTTTCCTAGATATTTCTCATTCAAACACTCAACTATTTACACAGGAAACGTTTGGAGCTTCTTAATTCTTCATTACCATAGTGAAGTTTGTACTATTTGCATCAAAGCTCTGTGTTTTGACAGTAAAAACAGAAGTAGGTCACTGTCTCGCAGATTTAGAGTAGCCTGAGGGTGGAAGTAATAGTTTCCCGTATTCACTGTAACTTTGGCGTTTGAAACATTTTTGTTGCTCAACGTTTTTCACCGTGTCTTCACAAGCTCGTGCAGTGTCTCGCTGATCTGCAGATGTTGCAGTCTGTCAGCTAACTTTATGAAAAGGAAGACAAGTATGTGGTTTGTGACATCATCAGTGTTGTTGGTTGTTCAACACAAATAGAAAACAAAGATCCTTTCTGTGAGGATGAAGTGAGGAGGCTTTCTGGTTTCGTAATTTGTACCATTGAGTTGGTTAAGATGTAGAATATTTTTTAGACAAAATCATTTTGAAATCATTTGTGCAACAACTTTTCTTCACTTACTCAGTTTTACACATTTAGGTCAAAATTGAAAAGCTGCAGCAGGTCAGATATGTTAATAGTTGTTGAAAGGGAAGGATTTGACTGCAAAGGGTTTTCAGGGTTAATGAGTGCTGAAAACTCGTTTTCTAGCACATTTTTGCTAACTTCACTGATTGAGATGAAAGATTCTTTTTTACAAATTGTATAAACAGAAGTTTGATTGAAATTAAAAGTTAAAGTCCCACTAGTTGTCACAGCAACTGTTGAAATTTGTTCTCTGCATTTGACCCATCCCCTAAGACAGGGGTGAGCTGCAGACACAGGCGCGCTCGGGAACAATTTGGTGGTTTAACCCCCCCAGTCCAACCCCTTAATGCTAAGTGTTAAGCGAGGAGGCCTTGGTTCCTATTTTTTTTCAAAGTCTTTGGTATGACCTGACTGGGATTTGAACCCCGATCTCTCACCCCTACTGCACAGTGGTAGCATCAGCGGGGCGCAACGGCTCTGCTTCAAATAGAATTCAATATAGTCTATGGAGTGATTCAAACCAGCTGTGGGTAATTTTCAGATGCGTTTCAGAAGCAGCACACCGCACCGCGCCGCGCCACTAAAGATAGGATCGGGTTCTATTTTTTTCACGAGCCGCTTCTGGGATGCATCAATTTCTGCAGTTAACATAGGGCTAGACAGGAAATCACACACAATTTTAGTGTAAAATCCCTGGTAATTTTCAAAATAAAAGAACTGGAGTGATGCAGTTCCCTATACATGAAGCTCATGTGTGAGCCAACGACTTATTTACTCCCAGCATCATTCCAGAAGTGCAGCGGTGTGTTTTCCGTGGCTTTAACCCTGGCAGTGGGGAGAAAAAACCACATCATATATGCCATCAAACAGCAATATCTAATGTGATTTCCTTCTTTTTGGTTTAATGGCAGATTGCATAAATGAACCATAACCTTTGAAGTCTCGAGGGATTTTGTGATCTTGCGAGTCGAGTGAGGAGCATGGTAGAGAAGCTGCTTCGCTGCTGAGACTATCGGTGTTCTGGAGTGCAGTGATTGTCGCGAGTTAACTGTTCCGCTGCCTTTCTGCACCGCTGATGCTTCCAGGGTGCAGTAGGGGTAAGTCCCAGGGCGGACAGTCATACCACTAGGCTACTGAGCTGGTGTAAAATTTTAGTTCACTAAACTTTCTGTGGCAACTGACTTTCTGAAAAACTTGATTTGTTTCGATGGCTGAAAGAATCAATTTGTGGTATTGCTTTGGCATAGCAAACATTTGACTTAAACATCAGATTTATGTTTTTAAAGAACAAATGTGGTCTAAACTGTCAGAAAAAATTACTAAAGCAGTTTTTGTCAATCAGCATGAATCAGAGTTCAAATGGCAATATGGCGTTGGACTACTTAAGGACCTGTAGCTTGGCATGGCTGCCTTCTCATGTTTTGTGAGAAACCTCACAAAACCTGATAGTTACCTGATCTTCTTTGAACAACATTCCAAAAGTTTTTAGACCAGCAAGGCTGGATTGAACAACCCTAACCAGTTGATTCCTCACCCGACTCAAACAGCAAAGATTTGAATGCAAACTTGCTGGAATTTAATTGTTCAGGTTGTATTCTTTTGCTCCTGAAGTTTAAGCACTAAGCTGGAATCCAAGAATAAAAAGTCCTTTGTTTCCTGCTACACGATTACAGCCATGAGGTTGTCCCAGATTGCAGATGGCCTCACAGACCTCTTAGGTGGTAATCATTGACCGGGTGTCGAGGGTCGGTCTAGGTCCGCTCCGGGGATTGACTCTGGGAAGATCAGTCTGACTTAACGTCTCTCTCTACATCCTGCTATAACAGGACGCAACCAGCCACGGGACGCTTGCTGGTAAAATATTAGCCGTGGCCCATCGAGTCTGCTCAGAATTGAGCAATAATCAATCGTACACTGGGAACAAGTGCTGTTTCCAGTGAGAAAAGTAACAGACGCCTTTTTAAACTTCACTTGTCTCCAACCTGTCCTTTGGAATATCTACTTTGTTTTGTTAAGCTAGATTAGAAGATTTGTTCACA